TCGGGTGGCAGGGGTCGAGTGAAATACGTGAACCAGGTAGAGGGTAGACGGATCATACGGGGCATATGAGGGACTGTGATAAGACCTAGGAAAGAAGGACTGCTTAACAGTATGACAGACTCTGATTAACATGCCCAGCACAAGGGAGAAGAAGTTAGAAAGACAGTGTGAAAAGTTTTCATGAATGCTGCTCAAAAGTGTACATCACACTAGATCGAAATAGGCACGGTAAAATTGTAACAGTGAAAACGTGCTAGGAGGATATCAGAAATGTGAATAGCCCAGGGTAGAAGGGGAGATACCACGACTGTTTTGCACATGTTTGATCAAAGGATCAGTTTTACTTGACTCTTTGACGAGTTATTTTGTGGTGCTAAGCATGGCGAGACTCATTGACGATGTCGACTACAATGCAGGCGAAACGTCTGGGACCACATCCACAGTCTGACTTTGGAAATGATCATACATACAATAAAGTCCAGACTATGTGCATTCCTCTAAGTCTTCGTACCAATATGACCAAGTTGCAAAAACAATGTCAAACAACCTCTAAACAAAGAAAGGAGACTGCGACCGCACATATGGCCACCTCATCTTAGCTTTAACACCTACGATTATGTATTGTGTGTTAGTGAGTGGCTTATAGAAAATGTGCCTGAGTGTTTGCATATTAAATGATGAATTCTGTGATTTGATTTGTCAAGCATCTTTCAACAATTAATTAGTTGAGCTAAGCATTTTTGCTGATTATAAGACAGTTATTAAGAGGACAAATTACGATTTGAAACGAATACAAACGACTATCATATTAAACGCAATATGGTGAATACATCTCATATAACTGATTTAATAGTTGTCTCAAAACTCTGCTTATATGCTAAAAATAAATAATATAGTGGATTGTTATGGCAAAAATCAATTTGCTTTATCAGCAATCCCATCAAAAGAATGTGATATAAGAAAAAGCATGACCTTTCTTGTAATTCACATCTACCTTGTTACCCAAGGGCACTTGTTAAAATGTGGTTGAGTGGTAAAATTGTCAAGCTGTATTGTCACACTTCTACTCCAGCTGGGGCATGCTGATAAGAACTAGACGAGGACGAAACTCCAGTATACCTTGGATGAGAACAACTTTGGGGAAGCAACGCTATGCGAAATTCATTTGAAATGTTGGCTCTACGCATAGCATTGTGGGACAATTCTACTACCAGTCCTTCTTTACCTTAGACGAAATAGGGTGAATACATCTCAAATTACTGATTTACTGGTAGTCTCGAAACTCTGCTTATATACTGAAAACTTATTACCCAAGTCTTGATTTATGGGCTCATCATGCTAAGCCATGCAAACAGACAGAAAGGGTTTTTATTTGTGAAGCGGTTTAATTAGTTCATCCATATTCTCTCATAAATAGAAAAACAAATCAACTTCATCCGTGAAGTGAATCATTATCCTTAGTATTAGGATTAGGATTAGTATAATGTCCAAAGAAAGAGCGACCAAATTAAATTTAAGGCTAATTAACTATTTTAAGCTCATCTTAATCCAAGAAGTTAATGTATGCTTTGGGTGCTAAGCCGTTTAAGAGACAGAATAAGTGAGATAAGAATACCTTACAAGATGAAATATTTGATGTAAAAATCTTTGAAATAAATCAAATTTGTTATTAGGCCTATTATAGCATTTATACTAATCAGTATTTAATTAGTCCATCCGTAATATTGTAACTTATGATTATGGGCAGTGGGATACAAGGTTAAATTGTGGCAACTTGTCTTATCATTATTCTAAGACTAAGAAATAGTAACTAAACAGAATAGCAAGAGTGATCGTAAATCATTTAGGTAGCTAATGGGTAAAAGCCTGCTTAAAAATGTAAGGCAACAACCAAATGTCGGTGCGAAGATTTAATTATTCTACCGTATACATAATTAACTTTGAAATATATCACTCCTTCCTATTAGATCAGTCCATATTCTGCTAATTCAGGCACATTCTTCAGTTTCGATGGGCAAAGCTCTTTTCCTACAGCTCTAGCCCTTTTGATAATAACCCTATAAGCCTAAATTTTCTTTTAGGAATATTATCCAACACGACAAGTAAAATTTTAGTAAGATTCCACATGAATATTTATGGTTTAGATAACCTATTACATGCAACATTGTATTACAAATTGAATCTAAAATAGCTTTATTGATCATGTTATATAACAATTTCTCAGGAACTTGATACTACGTTGATTAATGTTTTACCATTTTATTATATCTCACAATAATCTATTTATATTTAGCCTACATGATCCCATAAATAGTTAAAACGTTGTCTAAATGTCATTTAACTAAGGTAATTCATATATAAAATTCAAATTTATAGTAATAAAACCATGTATACAAATAATATAAAGTACTATTGGCAATCTCAATGGAATGAATACAGAAGTCGCTTCTTTCATGTAGCTAAAATTATGCCTATAATATTATTGCTATTATTAATAGTTATATAAATATTTTTTTATGAATGAAGGCATTAATAGGAAGTTGTTGTCACGCGCTTCCTTGCGTTCGAGCGGCTACTTTCACTAGTCTGAGCGGTTTGCCGAATGGCGGATCAGAGTCAGTCCATTTGTCTTATGACCGAATGACCCTTTTTTATTTATTGTATTATACTTTTGTTTTTTATTTATTAACTTTCTAAAACAGAAGAGCTAGTTGCTTCTCTGGAAGATATTTGCGTCAGATGGGTTTGCAAGAACATCCTTTTTATCACAGAAAAAGTCACTTGCTCGGAGCCTAAGAGGAGATGGCGCATTAAAGACTTTTGGATCTCGGCCAGACCTGCGCAAAAGATTCTTCTCCAACTTTGTAAAAGAAACATCCTCGATGACGAAATGCTTCATCTGTTTACTCCGGAATACGTTGACCTTATCTCCCCTTCAATTAAAGAAGCCAATATTGGGCACTACGCTCTTCGTATTCTAAGAGATTTTCGTCTGCTGAACCTTTCTGCTACCAATTTGGAACGCGTCAACTTAAATACAATCATTGGATGCCTGGGAGAGTGGACTGTTAGAAACCTTAAAAGTCTTAATATTTCCGGGACTTCAGTCCTCTGCGAAACTAACCTCCCCATAGTCGTTCCCTTGGGACGATTTAAGAGCCTACATATCCTTAACGTTAGCCGCACCGAATTTACTACCCAATGTCTGCAAATTGTTGTTAATGATCTTCCTAATCTTCGACATCTAAACGTCTCCAGGACCCGCGTTGTTGATATTTCTGCCCTTGTTCTAATAGCAGATCGACTTACTGGTTTAATTATGCATCGTCTTGACTTAAGTGAGCCCCAACATGTTGATAATCTCTTATCAAATATAATAAAATTGCACGAGCTCCGCCATCTGGATGCCTCGGATAAACCAAGGGGTCTTTATAATCGCCAACCGGCTGTTGATCGCCTCTGCTCTGGAATTTGCCTGCCATATCTTACACATATTGATCTTTCGGGAAATCAGTTTGGCTTAAGGCTTGAAGATGTGATGTGAGTTTATGTCTCATTATTTTTCAGAAATTTGGTTAAGAATCATAGGAGCCTCATGTATGCCGGATTTGCATCATGGAATCAGAATCAAGAGCGTGTTTTAAATGGTATATATCAGCTTTCTCTTCAGCATCCTGACATAACGGTTAGTGATAATTGCGAGTTGTTTTGTGAATCGTATTCCTCGATAAATCTTTGTCTATGGTTATTACATTGTTTCAGGCCAGTGTTTGCGACTATTCCTTATTCTTGAAGTTGCCAATAACGTTTACTTTGATTATATTGCTTTTTTGATCCTATTTACACATTAAGATGCTTGGTGACCGCGGTGATGCTTTGCTACTCGCAACACTCACTCGAAACAAGGATCGCGCTGTTTATTTACAAAATGCTTTCCACAGTATCTTTGAGGCCACTAATACTGTTGGCTCAGTTAAATCAGATCTTCTTGCTGTAGGTCTTCTTAAATCTTACATAATTTGCCTTTGTACTACTCATATCTGATGCAGTTATTTTAAAATCTAATGTTACTTCATAATTGATTCCAAAAACATAATCCCATTGCTTGTACCAAAGGCAGCTATTTTTCTTCAGATTAGTAATCCGAGCAATATGGAATTTAGTTTCCACATATAGACTATTTGTTATTGTTCATAAGCGAAAAAACTGGGCTTCAATGACTCTTAGTTTTCAGTCAAGCTTATTTCTGAGCCTTCTGAGAGCATCATCTTTTGATAACTTGGTACAAGTCATTTGTGTTAATATATATAGTAGGTCTAGAATTTTATATAATTACGCAGTTATCGCTTACTACATTTGCTTACAACTTCGTTTAATCTTGCTTACTTTAAATTTCCCTTATGAATCTTGAAGGCCGTAATCCGTGTTATGCGGCTTCATTTACGTCGGGCAGAGATGATTCTAGCAGGAACCGCCGTTATCTATAATCTGACCCGCGGAGAACAGAGTAATCATTTGGCGCCTAACCTGCTCAACCGAGCTGTGCGTATTACTCTGGCTGCTATGGAAAAGTTTCCCTCTCATAGGCAGTTACAGAAAAATTGTTTCCTGACACTTTGTAATGACATTGTGCTTCATCGAGCGGTAGGTATTTTTATACCTGCTTTTTTAAGAAACTGTTTGAAGTCTTTTCTGAAAATATTCCCATCGACCTCGATAGGAAACTGTTATAGCTATAATATTCACCATATACTTGCATCTTATGTATTTTCTTAGAAGTTTTCATAATTGTCTGCCTCATAGAGAGACTATAGTTGGATTAAAGTTAATTGATGACAATTATAAAAATATTTTATTTATGTATGAATACAAATTTCATTTATATTTAATATTTTGAGTACAAAATTCACACTTTTATATCTAACCATGCACGTTGCTCGCACATAATTTTTGATAGATTGTTTTATTGGATGCAACTCCGTCATCTTTTGAACCGCTCATCTTGCATCAAACCTAGTAACTACGCCTTTGAATCATGAATGAGCCGGGTTGTAACATAAGCAAGCTATAAAGTAAGCTTCTGTTGTGTCCAGTTATTTGGTTTTCATACAGCCGCTTTAGAGTCTTATTTTATCTCTTCATAGGTTCATGCTTCCTTATCCATTGAGTAAGAGGTCTCGTTTATTTGAACGTGTTTTCCTTCATAACATTCATTCACTACTATGGGGGGGAATATTTATTATGTTACCAGCACAACTTTAAATTAGGCTGCTTATATCTGTATTGAGCACAACTGGACCCATCTTTAACAATTTCATCCATATTTATTATCTAACCCTAATTTCTTCTTTGAGCATTTATCTTACTTATGCCCCATTTGATTGACGAATTCTTAATTTATTGCATACATGAGGCATATATACATGTAAAATGGGTCTTTTAGCCTTCAAATAGATGGCCAGACTGATCTTTATCATTGATAAACTAATTTTTTGAGCAACTGCTGTTGAATCGCTCTTTTCTAGTCTAATGCGTATGTGTGACCGGCAGTGAGTCTTGCTTTTTGATCAAGAGTAACACAAGGCGCTCGCTAAACGGTAGCTTAATTCCATTTGCGAACGCATCAATTACGTGCCTTATTATTTGGCCTGGTGAACTCTGTGTGGCTTCTTCTATTTAATATATCATCTGCATCGCCTTTATTTAACGCTTGGGCGCAATTTGGTTGCGTGGCTTGCTTTTTCTTGTTCTCTACACCTGCAGGCAGGGGTGCAATGGTCATTACCGAAATTAAATCTCCGTGTCATTGGCCACCTCTCAATAGCTACCTCTTGAGGTCTTCCCGAGAGGTGTCCACTCACCATTAGAATTCATAAGTTATTTTAATCGAAAGTATGAAGACCAAGATGGTGTGTCCTTTTGTGTGGTCGCAGTCTCCTTTCGTTGTATTGAAGTTGTTTGATCTTGTTTTCGCAACTTGGTCATATTGGTAGGAAGACTTAGAGAAATGCACCTAGTCCGGAGTCCATTGTATGCATAATCATGTCCAAAGTCGGACCATGACGTGGTACATTCCCAGACGTTCCCCCGGCATCGTCAGTGAGTTTTACCATTCGTAGCACTATATTACAACTCGTCAAAGAGACAAGTGAAGCCG